GGGCACGGGGAGGCGGCTCCGCCCAGGGGAGGTGGCTCCGCCCCGGATGTGAGCGTGGCCGCGGGGCATTGTGGGGCGGCGCTGCGGCCTCTCAGGTAAACAGGGCAGGGGGAACGGGGCAGGATTCGGGACCGCAGTCGGGACAGCAGTCGGGATTTGGCATCCGAGAGGGCGGCTGCTTTAGGCTCTGGGTCAGTGCCGGCGTCCCCCGGCCGGACCTGCGCCCGGGCCTGGCGCTGCTTCCCCACGGTCGTAATCTCGTGTCTCTTCCGGGGTACGCGCAGACAGGTCTTACGTTGACAATAAGGTAATTTTGGTTTTTCGGCAGTGGAGCTTATTTTCTAGGACAGAGGTATATTATATTATGCATATACATATGTATAATTATGCATTTTATATATATTTATAATGTATAGTAGGGAGTTAGTTCATTTCACCGAATGACATAAAATCACGTGGAAGAGCTCTAATGTCAGAGTGTATTGATTTGTAAGGCATTTATTTTCTCTTCCAGTTTTTTTTCTGCTAAGGAAAAAAGCCCAAATGGCCTCAGGTGCGGTATCAAACGCCCTTCCTGCAGCAGGGACAAATGATGTAAGCCTGGAGGAACCAAAGAAGATGACAAGGGAAGATTGGAGGAAAAAGAAAGAATTAGAAGAACAGAGAAAACTAGGAAATGCACCTGCTGAAGTGGATGAAGAAGGAAAGTACGTGTTACTAAAGCTGTGGTTATTCTAAAGCTGTTGAGAAAAAATATCTTTTCCTGTTGTGGTTATAGAGCAATCGTGAGGGAAACACATGGTTTTAGTGTGAGTTAGTGTAGAAGTAAATAGTTGAATTTTGTCTTTTAATATTCCGGTCATCAGATATTTTCTAAAAAATTGTTGGTTCAATGTTTATCTCCTGTCAGCTACTGACAGTTCTGCTAAAAAGTTCAATCCATGAAACTAGTAACATGTGGTATTTTAAAAGTGAGCAAAACATAGTACAGGGGTCTTTTACTGTGCACCTCATCTGTTGCCTCCTTCTCTTGCTTTTACAGGGCTTGTTGCTTCTGAGAAATGTTGCTACTTTTTTTGTTCAGTAACATTACAACAGAATAAGCCATTTGATTTGGAGTGAGGAGTTTAGGTCAATTAGGTGGCGACAAAATCTCAGAGTATGCGTTTATCAAACTGAAAATTTATTTTGCAGTGCATTGTACCAACTTCATTGTTTATTATCACTCCTAAAGCTATCACTTGAACTTTAATGTGAGGGTTGTTTGTTAGACTAAGTTGCTTTGGGTTTTCCCCCCGTGCCATGTATTCATTGCACAACATCTTTTACAGAGATATCAACCCTCATATTCCTCAGTACATCTCTTCAGTACCATGGTACATAGATCCTTCTAAAAGACCTACACTAAAGCATCAGAGACCTCAGCCAGAGAAACAGAAACAGTATAACTCCTCTGGAGATTGGTACAAACGAGGAGTTCAGGAGGTATGCAGAATGTTTTTCTCATGAAACAAGAATTTGGGTTGATTACATGAGGATATTTCTGGTTATGTGGTTTTGAGGGGGCAGGATTTTTTGTTCAGTAGGCAAATCTCAGTGTCTGGTGACAGTCAAAACATGTGTTTGTCCTTTGAGAAGGGCAAGCATACTTGAGTGATGTTGAAATATGAACTTGTTATTTGGAGCACTTCTGTGGATGTGCCATAGTGTCCCCCAAATGCTGCCCATTGTGTTTCCTCTCAGCACGCTGTGGCCACAAGGTACCGCAAAGGAGCCTGTGAGAACTGCGGGGCACTGACACACAAAAAGAAAGACTGCATGGAGGTAAATTTCACTTTTGTCCATGTTTTAATTACTTTGAATATCATGGGAATTTTAATCTTTGTGAAAAATAGCTGGCTATAGGTGAAATACTGGGTTTGGAAAACCTATTTTGAAAAATGTTACAAGTAGTGAGAGATGGCCTAGAAATTTCTAGAGGAATTATTATGTAGGAGAAGGGGGAAAGTGTTACAGTTCAGTGTGTCATCCATCAATTCTGTTTGTAATAAGATCTGACATAATAGGTGAAAATGTTATTTTCTTGTTAATTACATTAGCTCAGGTGCTGTTGTGTGTGTCTTTCTGCTTCATCTGAGGTAGAAGCTGCCCCCAGAAGCTGTTTTAATTGCTTTCTTAATTGTAGAAAATATAAACAAGAATATATGAAGTCAGTTGTACTACATAAAAAGTATTGTTAACTACTAAATGCAAGAACTACTTGAATTTATTTGCAATCCACAGGCTTACAGCACTGAATTTNCCCCACGGTCGTAATCTCGTGTCTCTTCCGGGGTACGCGCAGACAGGTCTTACGTTGACAATAAGGTAATTTTGGTTTCGGCAGTGGAGCTTATTTTCTAGGACAGAGGTATATTATATTATGCATATACATATGTATAATTATGCATTTTATATATATTTATAATGTATAGTAGGGAGTTCATTTCACCGAATGACATAAAATCACGTGGAAGAGCTCTAATGTCAGAGTGTATTGATTTGTAAGGCATTTATTTTATCTTCCAGTTTTTTTTCTGCTAAGGGAAAAAGCCCAAATGGCCTCAGGTGCGGTATCAAACGCCCTTCCTGCAGCAGGGACAAATGATGTAAGCCTGGAGGAACCAAAGAAGATGACAAGGGAAGACTGGAGGAAAAAGAAAGAATTAGAAGAACAGAGAAAACTAGGAAATGCACCTGCTGAAGTGGATGAAGAAGGAAAGTACGTGTTACTAAAGCTGTGGTTATTCTAAAGCTGTTGAGAAAAAATATCTTTTCCTGTTGTGGTTATAGAGCAATCGTGAGGGAAACACATGGTTTTAGTGTGAGTTAGTGTAGAAGTAAATAGTTGAATTTTGTCTTTTAATATTCCGGTCATCAGATATTTTCTAAAAAATTGTTGGTTCAATGTTTATCTCCTGTCAGCTACTGACAGTTCTGCTAAAAAGTCCAATCCATGAAACTAGTAACATGTGGTATTTTAAAAGTGAGCAAAACATAATACAGGGGTCTTTCACTGTGTACCTCATCTGTTGCCTCCTTCTCTTGCTTTTATAGGGCTTGTTGCTTCTGAGAAATGTTGCTACTTTTTTTGTTCAGTAACATTGCAACAGAATAAGCCATTTGATTTGGAGTGAGGAGTTTAGGTCAATTAGGTGGCGACAAAATCTCAGAGTATGCGTTTATCAAACTGAAAATTTATTTTGCAGTGCATTGTACCAACTTCATTGTTTATTATCACTCCTAAAGCTATCACTTGAACTTTAATGTGAGGGTTGTTTGTTAGACTAAGTTGCTTTGGGTTTTCCCCCCATGCCATGTATTCATTGCACAACATCTTTTACAGAGATATCAACCCTCATATTCCTCAGTACATCTCTTCAGTACCATGGTACATAGATCCTTCTAAAAGACCTACACTAAAGCATCAGAGACCTCAGCCAGAGAAACAGAAACAGTATAACTCCTCTGGAGATTGGTACAAACGAGGAGTTCAGGAGGTATGCAGAATGTTTTTCTCATGAAACAAGAATTTGGGTTGATTACATGAGGATATTTCTGGTTATGTGGTTTTGAGGGGGCAGGATTTTTTGTTCAGTAGGCAAATCTCAGTGTCTGGTGACAGTCAAAACATGTGTTTGTCCTTTGAGAAGGGCAAGCATACTTGAGTGATGTTGAAATATGAACTTGTTATTTGGAGCACTTCTGTGGATGTGCCATAGTGTCCCCCAAATGCTGCCCATTGTGTTTCCTCTCAGCACGCTGTGGCCACAAGGTACCGCAAAGGAGCCTGTGAGAACTGCGGGGCACTGACACACAAAAAGAAAGACTGCATGGAGGTAAATTTCACTTTTGTCCATGTTTTAATTACTTTGAATATCATGGGAATTTTAATCTTTGTGAAAAATAGCTGGCTATAGGTGAAATACTGGGTTTGGAAAACCTATTTTGAAAAATGTTACAAGTAGTGAGAGATGGCCTAGAATCAATTCTGTTTGTAATAAGATCTGACATAATAGGTGAAAATGTTATTTTCTTGTTAATTACATTAGCTCAGGTGCTGTTGTGTGTGTCTTTCTGCTTCATCTGAGGTAGAAGCTGCCCTATGAAGTCAGTTGTACTACATAAAAAGTATTGTTAACTACTAAATGCAAGAACTACTTGAATTTATTTGCAATCCACAGGCTTACAGCACTGAATTTAACTTGCTTTAGAGGAGCTCGATTGATAATATTTTTAAAGTGATATGCAAGTGAGCAATCTAATGGACTGATCTATCTTTTTTTTTCCTTTCAGAGACCCAGGAAAGTTGGAGCAAAATATACAGGCATGAATATTGCCCCAGATGAACATGTGCAGCCTCAGCTGATGTTTGATTACGATGGGAAGCGAGACCGGTGGAATGGTTATAACCCAGAGGAGCACATGAAAATTGTCGAGGAATATTCCAAGGTTGATTTGGTATGTGGTGCTGTGATTTACTGGGGAGAGAGTTTGTGTTTGGTGTGGCTGGGCTGGGAGGAGGGTCACTTGTAATGTGCTCTGTTGATATTAGATCTGGTGCTAAAAAGAAATATTTAAACAAATGCATGTACTTCACAGGCCAAGCGTACACTGAAAGCCCAGAAGCTTCAGGAGGAGTTGGCATCAGGGAAGCTGGAGCAAGTGGTAAGTAAACTTATTTAATCTATTTTTGCTTAGGCTGAATAAATATAAAACAGATTATTTCTGTTTTCTAACTGTTTTACTCTCTATACAGGGTCTGTTATTGGGTTTTATTACCTTCAGTAATTTAAAGGTTTTCCTAGCACCAGCATGTTATGTGTCTCACTCAAAAACTTGAAGCATCTTCTTTCAAAAGAGAATTGCTTTTGTGTTCCCTTTATGGGCAGAAATTCTGTGTGATTGTTATTGTTGCTGAAATTAATGACATGGAGTTTTAGGTCCGAAGTGCTTGTTTTCTATGTAGTAATTTTTTCATATACTGAAATGCTTTTCTCATATTTAAAGATGGGTACACAGTCTGACTAGTGCTGAGGTGATGACTGAGCACTGATTTAGTAATGTTTAAAATTAATTGGAATAGGAAAGTTTTCTTAAGGGGAAGCAAATTGATTTAAGATAAAGCCACTGTGTAGTGACTTACAAAAAGGGGAAAAAATAGAGACTGCTGCTGGTCAGAAGTAAGTTTTTTAAAGCCTCTTTGCAAAGGCTGTGCTGTCTCCTCATGTGTTGTCACTAGATGGCACAGTGAGCTCGATCTGCCATCCAGCCCAAACTACAGAGCTTTGACCCTCCCCAATAGAAGAGATTCATCCTCTTTTCATGCCCGTTTTATGAAGCAAACACCGTTGGCTTCTGTATACTTTCTGCTTATAAAATGGAACTGTAAGAAGAAAAGTGTGTTTGAAAGTTAAGAGCTGTCTCTGAGGGAGGGGACTTAGACTGATTTGCATAGTCACTGCTGGCCAGTTGCTGGTCTGTGTTCCAGGGCTCACCGCTGTTCCCGTCTTTACTGCTGCAAGTATTTTTCTGTTAAAGACTAAGCAGGTTGAAAAAATAAAATCTGGCTGTGTTTGTCAAACTTAAATTCTGCTTTCTGTTTCATGCTTAGTATTCCTGTAAATCCTGATGAAATTCTTGAATACATATCTCCTTAATTATTTTTAAGCTTTCAGAGTTGAAACTTGATTATATTTACATGGTATTAAATGTTGTAGTCTAAATCCTCAGTGTTCAAAGGCATAACAAGCTCTAAATAACAGCAACAGTTTTAGAATTTGCTGTTCTTGCAAACAATTGGAAATTTTGTTGGGCATACAGTGAAAAGTTCTCCAACATTGTCTGTCACAGAGACAGCTAAGAGCATTTCCCTGGAGTGTTGTGTAGCAGTATTTCTGCATTTGGGGCCACTGGTAAATTGTATTTTGTATCCAGCGTGAAGCTCTGCTTTGATTGTCCTTTGTATCCCTGTCATCTTGCCTTTTTCCACTACCTTGTCTTCTCTGCTGATGTGCTCTTTGTTTGCTGCAGAACTCCCCAAGACACCCGTGGGGAGAAGAGGAGTCAAATTCACAGACAGTAAGATGATTATCCACTGCATCACACCATGGGCAAAGAAAGGCAGTGTAGCAAGGGTAGCACAAGGATTTGAGTGTTGTGTCCATGCCTACCTCTTATTTTGGGCAGAGGTTGCTGGATTTCATAAAGAGACTTTTTGTTTTAATTCCTATGTGTTCTCAAACCTTAGAGATGTAAGCACGTATCTAGATTTTACTTGTGGTATATTTTGACCAAAATAACTGTACTTAATATCATCATAGTTATGTTTTGATAACTATTTCCATAGAAGGAAGTGAAAATTCTTTAGCTGCTGAAATGTTGAATGTTAGATTAGCCTGAGAGCACACTTAAGCCCAGGTAAACTGTGCCACCTTGTAACTTCAGGGATTGCAGAATTTTAAGGAAACTACTAAAATCAGATTCTTGTATATGTCTCCAGAGTGAAGGACCCTTTAGTTAGAAATTTTCCATTTTTCCTCAGGAAAGAGATCATAACAGTGAAGATGAAGATGAAGACAAATACGCAGATGACATTGATATGCCAGGGCAGAACTTCGACTCTAAAAGGCGCATCACAGTCCGAAATTTACGTATTCGGGAAGATATTGCTAAAGTGAGTAAAAAATCCTGTACAGATGTTCCTCTGTATTCTTGGGAGTTAATTTCAGCAAATTACATGTTCAGTTATCAGTGATTTTGTTTATGGGTCATGGGGTTTGGAAGTTAAGGTTTATTCTCAGTTCTATTCCATGTTATGAGTTCATCAAGGTCATCCTTTTGCATAGAACTTTTTAAAACATCAAAACTGGACAATGCAGGAGTAACCTCTGTTCTTTTAAAATCGTAAGCATTAAGTATCTTTTATGTTTCTTTTTTCCCTAGTACTTGAGGAATCTAGATCCAAACTCTGCTTACTATGATCCCAAAACAAGAGCAATGAGGGAGAACCCTTATGCCAACACAGGCAAAAATCCAGATGAGTAAGTTAAAATGAGGTCATGCTTGTATATTCAACAAAATTCTTAAAAATTATACTAATAGTTTTATTTTTTTACCTGTATGTTCTTTAGCTAATGAATCTCTAGTCAGTTACATATACACATATAAGTAAACCTGAAAAAAAAAAACTGTTTTATTTAGGAATACATTTTGATTTAGTATATAAAAGTACTATTTTTGTAATACTGACTGATCCTTAATCTTCGGGAATATGTGGACCACGGTTTAGTGTAATTATCTGTACAAGGGCTAGGACACTGCTGCATCTAGAGGTGATGCCTGTAAGCAATAATTATATTTCTGTAAAGTATTTCAGTAACCAAATCTTAAACTTTATCCCTTGGTTCTGGAGACGGTGTTGTGTGTATGTGGTACCTAACAACATATTTGAATTAGGAGTAAGATCTCTTCCTGTATTAATGGATTCTGCATAGAAAAGGTATGAAAGTTTTGGCATTGTCTAGATCGTTTAATTAAAGCTGCCATAAGCTGGTTTTGGCTGCACAGTTAGCTATCTCCCTTAAACCCCAAGTCAGACACTTGACCTGTGTTGTCACAGAGCAGATAGGCTGTGAGTAAAACATGTATTCAGAGTACAGCAATGGGATTTGCTTGCTGCCTAAAATAGAATGGCAGTACCTGAATGATAGCAAATAATGGTCTTTCCACCTCTCCTTGCCCCCCCAGTTAGGGTAACACCAGTCAATTCTTTTTTTAAGATGGAGATGCTTTTGCTTCTCTCTCAAGTCATAATTTGACCTTTTGAATCTAAGTTTCTGCCATAGCTTTGCAGACAGTAAATTTTTCAGTGGCTTTGGGAAGATGAACGAGTAGAGAATTGGATTGCTAGCATTATATGATCATCAGTGTGTGTTTAATGTACTGGCTGTGCATCTCTTCAAGGGCTGTGCATCTCTTCAAGGGCTGTGCACAAGTGTCTCAGCTTTACTAAGAGCACTAAAGCTGTCCCAAGCTTTCTTTAACTCTGCCAAATATGCTGTGTCTGGATTGAAGAGTCAGAAATCCAGAAGTGAGAATCACTGTGCTGGAATATCACAGACTGTTTATGCGTATTTATCGTGTATCTAGGTCCAAGTTTAACTTTTAGTGCTTGGCATCTCAGACAGGACTTTGGGTCTGTGTCATGTGTCCCTGTGAACACAGACATCATGATTTTTGAGTGCCTGCCTAATGCTTTCATGGCTTTACAAGGAGCACAGGTTTTTGTTTCATGTATCAAGTTGAATGCACCTTCGTCTCCCTCTGTTCTTAACTCTTAGTGCACAAGAGAATTGTTACTTGCCTGTTGCACTTCTGTTTGTATTTAAGAGGAACTCACATTACAAATGCTGACAATTGTGTTCTTTTCTGCAGAGTTGGCTATGCAGGTGACAACTTCGTTCGCTACACAGGCGATACCATTTCAATGGCACAGACTCAGTGTAAGTGGGGTTTGGGTTTGGGGTTTTTTGAAGGAAATGGACTTAAAATGCTTAATGATGTTGCTTTCTTGCAAGAGAAATAAATTTTTATAGATTGAGGCCTTCTATCAAATTGCTTCAGAATTAAAAAAATGTAATTTGAATGTGTATGTCACTTTTAGACTAAGTATTGAGTGGAACCTTTTGTGTACACAGTGTTTGCCTGGGAGGCTTATGACAAAGGCTCTGAAGTTCATCTTCAAGCAGACCCTACAAAATTAGAGCTCCTTTACAAATCTTTCAAAGTGAAAAAAGAAGATTTCAAGGCACAGCAGAAAGAAAGCATCCTAGAGAAGGTAATAGGCATTTGGGTTTATTTAATAGGAATTCTGTTGAGTTTGAAGTGTGGGTCTTGGGGAACAAGTAAGATTACTAATTCTATGTGAGAGGGCATCAGCTGTCCTCAGCAGCTTAGACTTAAAATATTTTTGTCTTTATACACACTATCTTATCAATTGATGAATTTTATTATTTAGTATAGGGACCTTTGAAGGTCTGCTGGTATTTGTGTTGTTGGGTGCTCTTCCCTTAACTGTCAGAATTTCTCCCCTGAAGAAATCTGAATTTCTTTCTGAATCAAATTTTGGGTACAGTCTTCTAGATAAATACTTATTTTCTATTTTGCAGCTTGTTTCTTGGACAAATGAAAATGAACTAAATAATCTATTTAGATTCTAGCTATGTCAAGTTTGGAGGGGAGCAGGAAGTATTGCTCTGGTTGTACGCAAGCTGTTTGTCTTGGTCTCTAAAGTTTTTCTGCTTTGAATGAGGAATAACACTGTTCTCCAAACATAAAACAAAACAAAAACAAACAAAAAACCACAACAAGAAATGACACACACACCAAAACCCCCACAAAACTAAACACCAAAAGATACCACAGTGGCCATAAGAGATGATGTATTTCTGTCTTAACTCTTCAGTGAAGATTAAACTGTCTCTGTCCACTTTTGTGCCTTCTTAACAAGGTACCAAAGGTGCTGTTTTTGAAATGTTTGCTTAACTATATAAAAGGTGTGCTTTTTTCTAAAGCTATTAAATGTAATTTCTATTTGCATTTTAGTATGGAGGACAAGAACATTTAGATGCCCCCCCAGCTGAACTGCTGTTAGCTCAAACAGAAGATTATGTAGAATATTCTAGGCATGGAACAGTCATCAAAGGACAGGAGAAAGCTATTGCCTGTTCTAAGTATGAAGAGGATGTGAAGATCAACAATCATACAGTAAGTCCTAGGTTGTGTTAAAATTTTCAAAAATTAAATGCCATCCCATTGGAGGTGTATTACGATGCAGTACAATATAATTAATACAGCAAATACATTTCTCATGTCTCATGTGACACTTTCCCTTTTCTGCTAAGGAGAAACTTCAGGTAGTCATAGTTGTGATGTGAATTTTAAGAGTTGCCATGGCAATCTTAAACTAAAGGGGAAGTTACTCTATTCACCTTCCACTTTGGATGCAAGTCGACCGTGTCCTGTTGTGGTTCTCTTTTTTGATAGCGTACCTGTAAGGCTCATGTAAAATAGCAAAAGAATTTCTCTTAGCTTCCTTTTGGACTGTTTGAATAATTTACTTACCAGGATATCAGCTCAGGAGTAAATTTTAGCCTGCCTTTTACGGGAGTAACTGTGCGGTGTGTTCTCTTGCAGTGCATTTGGGGTTCATACTGGAAAGAAGGCAAGTGGGGTTACAAGTGCTGTCACTCCTTTGTCAAGTACTCCTACTGTACAGGAGAAGCTGGGAAAGAAATTGCTGTGAGTATTCTCTTATCTATTCATGTGGAAAGAGCTAAAAAGCATTTATATTCCTTAGTTAAGGTTTAAACAGTTTGCTTTTTGGGCGAGGTCGACTTTTTAGCAATTAGTGGGATTTTTTCTTTGTCCTTCCCATTTCAGATGTGGTCAGTAACAGGGTATCCTTGCTCTTGTCTGTTGTATAGAATACAGAGGCAAGTTTAATGGAAGAGCAGCCTGAGGAGGAAGAACACATGACAAAACCCAAAACACTGATGGAGGTAGGATGTTTCCCTTTCTCGGTAAGACAGATACTTTTCAACATTTTAGCTACAAAATTCTGTAGAGCCATAATAAGCCTGAAAATTACTAGATTGTATTATTAGTACCTTAGTATCTCCATTGAAAACTAGGCTCTTAAATAGCATTAATAGAAGTTAGGATTTAGTGGTTTGGGCATTATTAATGTTGGCAAGTTGAATCTTCATAGTAACTTGTTTCCCACCTTACAGATCCACCAAGAAAAACTGAAAGAGAAGAAAAAGAAGAAGCACAAGAAGAGCTCAAATTCTGACAGTGAGGGTGAAGAGAAAAAGAAGCAAGAAAAACTAAAAAAGGTGCACTATAATCTTCAGTGGCTTTGTGGAAAAAGGAACATGACATATTTTACAGCATCAGTTTTATGAAGCCTATAATGTAGTTCTTGGTGATACACCATGGAGTAATTTGATGCTAATTTTGACCTAAATCAAATTTAAAATGCTGTTAGATGTTCTAAAGTCCATTCCCTATTCCTCAGGCAAACCTTCAATAAATATTTAGTTTTGAAAGACTTAATTTAGATGACATAGAACATTTCATGTCTAAGCATGTATTACACTTTATGGTGGGTTTAGGCAAAACCAGCACACACCTGTAGGTCCATAAAAGACATTGCAGAACACAGTGATTTGTGTATTGAAGAGAGATGGAGAGATCAAAGGCAGTATCAGATCTTAACTTAGCACTTTGTATCCCAGGCTTGGCCCAGTCTCAGGGCTGATATAATAAATCCATGCCCTGAGCCATCCACTGCCGAGCACTGGTGTGTTCCCATGGGCACAGCAGCCTGCCTTGGGCTACTCTGAGAGGAAACCTATTAAAACCATGTTTAATTAAAGCAGGGTACAAATGGAAACTTCTTTTCCAGTAGCAACAGTAGCAGTTGGAGGAATGAGATAGCACAAAGCATTTAAAAATTAAAACCTCAAACATAACAAAAAATAACAAACAATTGATTTGTATTTGCTAGATCACAATTATATTTTATGTAAATCCTGTGAGTTTCTTACTTGGTTTTGACATTTGGAAAGAAATTATAGTGTCTTGTTTACTAAATAGCATTTTACCCTCATTTTATGTTAAGCACTAAAAAACTGAGCATTAAGTGAAATATGCTGTGGGTGGGCTAGACTGGTGTGCATCAGTTATCCCACCCTTGGCTTGCTCCTTGTCCATCATACAGAAATCTAAGACAAACCTTCATTGTTGGGGTTTTTTTGTTTAACTTTCACTGTACAATTTTTGTTTCCCTTTGCTTTCATTTCAGGCTCTAAATGCTGAAGAGGCTCGACTTCTCCACATCAAAGAAATCATGCAGTTAGATGAGAGGAAGAGACCATACAACAGCCAGTATGAAGCCAGGGAGCCAACAGAAGAGGAGATGGAGGCCTACAGAATGAAACGGCAGAGACCTGATGACCCCATGGCCTCTTTCCTTGGGCAGTAGTCACAGGGGGCTGCTCATGTATTATTCCAATGCATGAGGCTTTTCCCACAGTTGTGTACAGCTCTCTAGACACTTGATTCCTTTGCACATGTCTAAAATGGCAGAAATGGTAGAAACCTTTCTGTGCTCTGAAGAAACTTGTGAAAGCTTCTTTGAGCAGACATGAGCAGTCTAGTACTTACTGGAGTTTTGTAAATGTGTGTGTATACAAATACAGGAACATATATGCACACACATATATATAAAATACGTACACCTACTCTGTAAATTCTTGAAGGAGAGAGAAGAGATCTGACTGAAATCCCAGGTTTATTTGGCCAGCTAATAAATACATGTATTTGGCCAACCATGCATAAAGTTGTGATACAGTAAAACTGACTAGTCAGAAGAAATGGTCAGCAGGTGTCAACATAGAACAAAACTTATTGACAAACATTGACACAACTACTACTAGAGCTTCTTGTAAAGCCTGTCTCATGGCTTTTAAAGAATACATAGTTTCTTGATCACTTTGCTGTAAATACTTTGGAAATGCAAAGATTTGTTGTTTTGTTCTGGTTAAATCAATATAAAGATCTTAAGTGCTGTCTAGCCTTTTAAATTAAATGGTTAGGAGAAGCTGACTGTAGAGTTTTTAAATTCCAATTGTTTCTTAAGATGTATTTCCACAGAATTTTCAACTGTAAAGATCTGAGTTCTTGGGTTTCCTTTTGATAACAGTATCCTGTTACAGGGTGTGATACCAAGTGTCACACTGTAATCCTGTGTGGGAACATGAAGTAGCATATGCTTTGGTTTGGCAATATTAGTCCTTAAGCTGGGAGTTTTCCCCTTCTAACTAATTAAAAGTTGAAGAACTGGGTAATAAACTGTACAGCATGACTTTAGAGTTGGAAGGCTTGGACATTACTTCTGTTGAGGTTTAAACTGTCTTTCCAAGGAAAAGTTGCTCTTTTCCACAAATAATTACATACAGAAAACATACCTGTAAGAGCTCTGTGTGTGATTTCACAGACACTTTGAGGACTGAATGTTTTGATTTGGCACTTGTAGCTAATGATGGCAATTCTGCACTGTTCTGCAATGTAGTTCTGTATTAATATGATATGTGATATTCTCATCGGTGATCAAAATTTTTAGTAAAAAAACTTGAGTCAAAATCTTACTGTGTGTCAGGTCCTCTGCCAGACAGGAAAAGCAAACTTTCTGAATTAGCTGATTTGAACTATGAGGTGCTCTTCTCAGGGCTGTAGCACCTGAGGTTGTGCCAGCACACCCTGCAACTGCTGTTGGCTTGGTCAGTGCCAAGTTCAGTTTGAGGGAAGAGAAGAAGGGTTCCTTGAGCTATTTGTATAACTTCCTCAAAGCTGCAGTTTAGTCTAAAAAAAATGTTAAGTCTGAAAAACTTTATATTCTTTAATTATTTATAAAAATCTTATAAAAATCTTTAATTCTTTATAAAGGAGGTAATTCAGAAATAATACAGGAAACACAGAGGAAATTTCAAGACTAATTTTGTAAGCTGTGGAGTGACTGCATGGAAACTTAAATACATCAAGTCTCTACTGAATTTATGTGAAGTGATTGTTCAGGGATTAAAACTCAGTCCTAAATTTAGAATACTAATACTGCAGTTCCAGGCAGATCTTGGCTTGCAAGGTTCACATCTCTCATGCTTCTACTGGTGCAAAATCTTAATTTTCCAGTTCCAATCTTATGAGAATTCCCTACAAACCCTTGACTGAAATAAGTTGGTTAACTGGAGATTCTTATCTTGCTCTGTAAGCAGTGTCTGTTCCCTGGAAAGCTCAGTTAATACTTCTGCCATGTGGTGTTTCTCAGCAAGGGCTGAACAGCCCCACACATCCAATGGATGCAGAACCAGAGCCAAGCTTAGAAGCACATGGATGTGAGCAGCTCTGGGATGTCTCAGTCCCTCCCTGCACTTCTTTGGCACCAGCTGCTCTCTTTCCCCCCCAGCAGATCCCAAACACCAGCACAGAGGAGACACCTCAGTCCCATGCATGTCCATGGTGAGCAGCATGGTCTGTGGAATTGCTTTGATGGTATTTCAGAGGTATCTCAGGGCAGTTTGGGAGGCTCAGAAGAGCCTCTTCTAACACACCAATTGAATTTCAGTTTATTTGTGGTACACTCTGGTCTCTTGGGCTTGAAAAATCTGTGACCATAACCGAAGTGACCCTGCCAATGGCCACAGAGCTCGCCTGGGGCACAGTTATCTCACATGGGAAATCTGCTCTTGTCAATAGAGCAGGGAACTGGAAATAATCAACTTGCTCCCTTTTGCCCTTAACTTACTGCATGAAAGTGGGTACACAGCTATGAAGCTCCAAAAACATCCCAGGTTGGAGGGACAGGCCCTGATGCTTTTTATCTTTCATGCCCACACTCCATCTCATATTGAAGGAAGCTCAGCAGCATTCTCCTCTCTCTTCTCTCTCCTCTCCCCTGACATTGACTCAAAATTCACCCAATTCCTCTGTTAGCTCAATTCCTCTTTCAGCTCAATAAACCATCAGGAAACTAAATAAAACCTTGATCATCTTCTGCCAGATCAGCAAACTGAACCAGCTCAGCAGAGTTCAAATACTAGGGCTGCAACAAGGCTGGTGTGGTGCACAGGGGAGAGATGGGGTGAAGGCAATTTCTCCCCTTCCAGCAGCAACTCAGACTCATTTCCATTTAAATGGCTTGAGCAGATTCTGCTCTGAGGCCCAGGGATCACTGGTGATCTATAAGCCATATGAAATTAAGTTCAGCTGCTTTGAGAAAAAATTATTAAGCAGTGAAATTAATTAAAACCGCTTATCCAGGCTGGTACAGCCCCTTGAATCAGAAAGTGAAAAGCTCCCAGTGGTGTGAAGTTCTCTGAAGATTTTCCTATGGGTTCAAAGATCCTAAATACTGCTTGTGTAGTACTTAAATGTGCTCACAACATGGTTTCAGATGGACAAACAAAATTTGGTTGGCTAAATACTTGTTTACTTTTTTAATGAGGTTTCCAGATATTAATTGATTGTTCCCACCTAAAGATCTACCCTTATATATTTTACCAGGGACAAGTCATGTAACCTTACTCAGTTGAAACTCCTAGTGAAGATTTACATGACTAAAAGAAGCCATGTCAATTTAAGGTAGTTTTTTGCAAGTGTGCTTTTCCCAGCACATAGGTGCTTCCTTCTGCTCCATGCTGCAGCCAAAATCCTGTTCCTTGCAACTGCTTATAGTGCTGAGAATTGGAAAACCAGCCCTGGAAGAAGCATGAGGAGAGGAAACTCCCTTAAGTTGCTTTGGCTGCACAACATTTTGTATTAAACCAGGAACTGAAGGAACATGGGGACCTGTCTTTGATCCATGGGAATCAGCATGATTTAGTATAATAGTAGTGACTTTGTTAACCTTTGTTAACATTTATTCTATAAAATATTTCAAATTAACTAGACAACAGCCAGTGTAAAAAAAAGTTGGCTATGTATTGTTATAAGGTCATGCAGAAAGATTAACTCTTGTAGGAATGATTGGATTCTAGTGGAAAAAATAATAAATATGTGTCAGTAATGACACTGCCTTAGTCCTCAATGCTGTATCTGTGAAGAGTGGGGCTGATGAGATCTCTCAGGGATATTATTTTGTCCATTAGGCTGCTGCTACTTGGATGGTTTTGATGGCTAAACCCCAGGATTTTTATTTTTTCCTGATACCAGTGCTGCCACTGACCTATTTCTGCAGTGAGTAACTGCACAGACATCTGTATCCCAGCTGATGCCCAGGAATGAAAATAACCCTGAAAGGTAACAGCCCTCTGGCTGAAGGGAGTGTTTATGGGCAGCATTTGAACCCCTTTGGACTGCACTTTCCAATACCTGGTAAAAAAGGATGGGAAGGCAGAAGTGCTGGGAACAGCCAGGGGTTTGGCCAGCCCTGCCCACAGCTCCTCACTGGAATTTACTTTATCCTGCCTGATGGGGTTCATCCAGTAATGGTTTGGTGTATTTGGGGCTCTTTGAGAGAAGAGTCAGTCACAGCCATGAGAAATTTTTTTAATGTTGAGTTTCTCTGCTGTCCCTGCTGTCTGTACAGGTTTCTGTGGTGTTGGCACTGTCCACTGGCAGTGGAGGGGCAGTGGCAGAATGTGGGGTGCCAGTGAAAAGGAAGGCATCACCCCTGCTTGTGTTGATCATTGATGTCTGCAGGTTTTATCCAGAATTGTAAGTTCCTGCTTTGGGGAGCTGCATGTGAGTGCAGGACACATCCCAGCACAGTGCAGATTAGGCAGCAAACCTGTAAAGGAGAATTAAGATGCTTTATACTAGCATTAAGATGCAAACTTTGCCCTATAATCCTAATTATTGCCTTTCTACTCTCAAGCAGTTTTGTGCAGTGACCGTGGCAGTGCTCAAAAATGAAAGTCATGCCGATGGCAGCCCTGACATGGTTACCAGGGCTGTAATGAGATTTTATGCATCTCTGAAAGCACCAGCTGTGAAAATTCAAGGCCTTCCTGAAAGCCTTAGCTTTCAGCTAAGAAATCCACCATGTATATCAATATTTCTGTGTGTGAAAAAAAGTTTTAAAACATGTCAATGTGCTCTAAAAGTTTAGGTACCAAAGGACAGGTAAAAAGAACATTAGTTCAGTTGCTTTTATAAAATCCTTTGTTTATTTCAACTCTTGGCAGAAATAATAAACTGTGTTTATTATTGTTACCATAAATTTGTCAGTTGCAAACCTAAGCAACTTTGTGATTTGTAAATATCCTGAGAACACTTTGGTTACTTCCTAGTGGTGATGAGTGGATGGTGGAGCATTCGTGGCTGGTACAGGGGTGAGGTTTTTGCCTTGGTTCTGTCATGTTCTCTGACACTAATGTGTTGTAATGTTTTTAATTACCAAGAGCAGGTGTAAATTCTCTTTTTGGGGGTATCCCCATCACATCTCATTCACTCATTATTAGTCATTAAACATCTTATCCTGTGATTGGGTCCCAGAGAGAGCAAAGGGCAGTTATTCAGCTCAGATCTACAGTATTTCATGTGAAGGCAATGGGAAGGTTTAATTACTGACTCTTGTGACACATGGATTTACTGTGACAGGCCCTGAAGGAGCTCCCACCTGCTCTGTGTTAGCTCAGTGTTCCACGTGTGTGACTGCAGAGCCCTCCTGGAATCCAGCCTGGGAACAATTTGCCACTGTGAAATATGCACTAGAGCTGCAGACCATATGAAACATTTAATAAATTCTTTAAAAGGCAACTCATAAGTGAGGAGGAGCATTTGGAACATGTGACTTTTAGTTGGGAATATTTTATGATTGATGAATGCTATTTTCACACAGTCCTGTGTATTAGTGCAAATTACTGGTGATATTTCCACTGGTTTAGAGCTCAGGTTTGGTGGCACTGTGGTGACAGGGCTGTTTCCCTAAAGTTTTACCATTTTGTAGAGTTTCAGGTGATCTGCTGACACTCTGCACTAGCAGAGGCTTTCAGCACCCTCAGGTTATGTGGGGATTGTGTTTGTTTTCAAGACTCCCACAGTTTTTAATGGGTTTATCCTGACAACAGTGTGCTAAGAAGAGTGTTGTTCATCCCCAGTTAGCATGTAAGAGACACTTGCTTTAAGGACCTTTGAACTTGGATGTCTGCATAGCTGTCTCACAGAGACAGAAGTCAGGCACTGTGCTGTGTCTGGAGAAGTCTGGACACTCAGTTCTGATGTGCTGGAATGTCTTTAAAAATCTCCTTATATATATATATAAGGGCCAAACCTTACAAAGATCTGTGACAAATCCCAGAGCCAAACCAAACTCTGCACAGTGAATAGCTCTGCTACAGGGTTCAGCTGTTCAAATCCTGCAAGAAGCAGGAGCTGGTGAATTAACTCTCTGAGGTGCAGGGTGGGAATGATGGCTTTGACTTACTCTGTTTTCTCATGTGATACACTGGAACCCTAATTATTCCTGTAGGACTGAGGCCAGGCTTGTCTGCAGTTCAGTCATTCTCTGAAAGACCTGAACAAATGTTTCACTGGGAAAAGGAATGTACAAAAGTTTCTGTGCAGAGGAGGCAGCACTGGAGTTGCCAGCTCTGCCCCCAAATTAGAGCTCTGCTCATCACTTGGCAGGAGAATTGCTCGGGTTTGCCTTTTTCCCACCATGCAGGATTTTATTCCTTCCCATTTCTCAGACTGCTGGAAATGTCCCCTTAACTCCTATTGCAAAACACAATCAGATACCAAGTCACTGCTGTGAAAATGGGATTAAATGCAATGACTAAACACTGAGTTAGTTACTGAGTAACTTCTCAGGAGCCCTTCTTCATACTTGGGGAATTACTGAACACATGTGCTGGTAAAAAAAAATTGAGCTGTGGGATGGTCTATTTGTATACAGGACTTTGAAGAGGAGCCTGGGTGGTTGATCACAGAAACAGAGTGGATTAAATGAATAATTAGTGAATAGTATTCCAGAAGCTTTTCATGCCTGGGAGAAGTGGATTGAGACTACCAAGAAGGTTATTCCTGTCCTCTCCAGCTGCTCTGCAGCAAACCCAGTTCCAAGCTCTCTCTGCTGGCATTGGCACAGCCTTGCTGGAGAGCAGGGAGAGGCCAGGCACAACCCAAAGGCTCAGTCTGTGCCCACTGGAGACCACTTCTGTCCCTCCAAACATGTAAAAACAACACAGCAACAGGTGAGCAGAGCATTTTTGTAGGAAATATGGGAAGAATGCCCAGTTTTCCCTTGAGAGACGTTACATAACAAATCATAGAGCTGTGGCCTGCATGGCATTATCCACTTTAGTTTGAGGGAAAAAATAGTGGCACAAAATCAGCTTATTTTTTAAGCCCATCTGGAAGCTAGTGGGAATTCATCTCACTGAATAAGGCCATTATAAATTATATCAGGCTTCATCACATGTATTTGGAGGCAGAAATAACTTATTGCAGAGGTTTGAATTGAGTCAGTCACACAATGTAGATGAAAGCCTCAATTTGTGCGCCTTCTGTACATTTTTATGAACAAAGTATTTAGAAATAATTTAAAAGCCCCACAAAACAAAAACTGTAGCAAATACAACACAGCTTCAGAGTTACCTTGAGCTGCATTAACTTTTACTGTACAACCCTTTTTCTCTTCCCCTAAGAAAACATCTTTTAAGAAAATCAAATCTTACTCCTTTGTTGGATTAAATCTAACAATTTTCAGTTGGATTTAATTATTTTTTGTCTAGCAGTGGTTCTCATCTGCCCCAGAGCAAGGGCTCTTGGCCTGTGCACAGTGACCCCAGGCTGGGGACAGCACAGGATGCTCCTGCAGAGGGGACATCCTGGTGGGATGCACAGGAGTGCTTTGGGTCGCAGGGCAGAGAGGCCTCACCTGGTCTCTCCTCTGTGGCCTTGACAACAAATTCATGGAATTTTTCAGTCTTGCCCACGTGGGAGTCATGGCCACCAGCCAAGAGCTCAGGCAGAAACAGCCCTGTTGTTAATGATTGACTGGTGAGATAATGAAATAGCCCAGCCCACTGTTTGCTTGCTTTCCTTCTCGACTGCCACTGTACCTCTGCTGTGCACCAGAGTGCCACAAACCCAGGGCAGTGTCCAGCCTGTGACAGCCACCCTGCTGCTGTGATGCCTGTGGAGCTGCCCACTGGCCCTGGGACATCCTGGTCACCAGGTGAGAAATGGGAATTGCCTCTGATACTTGGGAGTGCACTGAGAACTCTTCAGGCTGTGGTCTGCAGAAATTCTGCTTCACTGACTATGAGATCTTTTTTGGGGGTACAGCTGGACTGTGGAAGCAGAGAATTGGCTTCCATTTTATAAAGAGAATATTGGAGGCAGAAAATTTGCACTGTCTGTATTCATTGTGAACATGCCTTCAGATTGCTCAAGCTAAGAGGTAACCTGGTGTATGCAAGGTGTCCTTGCCCATGGTATGGAGGGTGGAACTGGATGAGCTTTAAGGTACCTTCTAACCCAAATAATTTTGTAGTTCTGATTCTAACAAAATCAAACAACATCTCAGAGTGTGTATGTTTATTTTAGATGCCTGTACCTGGTACATATTGCCTTCAGCAGGTGCTGTGCTGTCTATTTATGTATTTGCTTTATGCAAGAAAAGAATGAAAATAACATTCTGGTTACTTTGTTGTTTGTATTGTGTTTGCTGTAAGTCTGGAGAACATGATTCTGCTGATCCATGGTCTAAGTAACTGCTCCTTAGCCTGTGGATAAGTGCAGATGTTTGGGGAGGGATTTGGTGAGGTCCCAGGTGCAGACCTTTGAGGACCACAGTGTGTGCTGGATGAGCTCACTCGTCTCTTCTGATAAAAAGATTTTCCTTTATCTCAGCAGTGTCCCTTGAGCAGCTGGGGGTCACCACACATGTCCTTGGCCCTCACAGGGTTTGATGCAGAGTTTGTGTGATATATGGGTTTGGATGCCAGGTGTCTGTAGCACTGTGGCACATGTGCCAGTGTGTGGGTGCTTCTGGAACCATCCATTTACAGGTTTGGGAGGTGCACAGTGTCATCCCAACTCGGCACTGCAGGGCAGGCAGGGACAATGGTCCACGGGGCAGGGGTGATTTAAACATGTTGCAAGAGCCCATCCAGGGCCAGGCATGAGCTGATGGATGGTGGTGAGAGAAGAAAGCTTAATGTTGGACAAGCAGGTGTCCAGGTGTTGTGTTTTCTATCCTTTCTCTCCACCAAGGGCTGACTCAGCTCTCAGGTGTCTTGTAGAGCATCTGCTGCCAAAGTCCATGTGCTGCCATCTGAGGCACCCTTCTGTAACAGCCAGGAAACAGCCTGGAAATAGAGGAAGGGGTAGGTTGGAAAATATTAAAACCACATTTTGAAATGTTTAACTTGGGGCTGGAAGCTGTCTGAGGCACACACACAAGGCAGTCTGATATACCATCTTCATGATAGCAGCAGGGCTTGTCCTTGGATCTCTGACTGCGAAAGATGGCATTTTCATAGGGAAATGTGTGAATGTAACCAAATCATTGAGGACAGAATTGAATTTGTAACATAAAAATTATCTTTAAATGCTGAAATCATCAGTATGTTGTAGCATGTGAGGGACCAATTGCACTCCTGCTGTGGACATGGATAGTCTTGTGTCACCTGGGTCTAACACAATCACAGGAGCTCTGCTCTATCCTTGATAATATGGGGGTTTTTAGAATAAATAAAATCTAGGTCTGTGTTAAATGGGTTGGGTAAAGGGTCTGCCAGGTAGACATTTTTACACAGAAAATACCTACTTTGGTACAAAATGTACTTAATGATTCTCCAGCACAGGCAATGTTTGAGGCTAATGGTGAAATGCAGTTTAAAGAGAACTGATTTGGGGCCTCAGAGGGGAATTTCTGTAGAATGGGTTAAATACAGAAAGGTGGATCTGCAAAAACTCACCTTTATGTTTGGATGGGGACTGGTTGGTATGAAGTGCTACAGACAGGGAATCACTTGATCCCATGTTTGTATGTTCCCAGTTTACCATCTCACTGAAACTGCCCCTGCTCTCTGAATTACTCACCTGTGATCAGAATACCTGTCCTGGAATCTCAGGGAAAGTCTCTCACAAAAGGTCTGAGAGCTGCCTTTTCCCAGAATTGAATTAATTTATGCTTCCTCCAGCATTTTTCCTCTGACATCTCCTGCCAGTCTTGCAGCATGTCTGGAGGAAGGCTGAAAGAGGCTGGGTTTAGTTTAGATATTGATAAGAAATTCTTACCTGTGAGGGTGGTCAGGTCCTGGCACAGGTTACCCAGAGATGTGTCTGTCCCATCCCTGGAAGTGTCCAAGGCCAGGTTGGATGGGGCTTGGAGCAACCTGGGATAGTGGGAGGTGTCCCTGCCCATGGCAGGGGGTGGAACAAGGTGATCTTTAAGGACCCTTCCAACCCAAACCATTCTGTGAAAAAGTGAATGTTCTTTACAGACCAAGGGTTTGACTTCTGTCTCTAATTCCAGGCAACCACCACCCCACCACTAAACCTGCTCTAATGTAACTATTGGATATTTCCAGATTGTTTTTAACTATTAATCCAAATTTTAATTTTTTGTTGTGGAAACCAGAGATATGTTTAGTGAGATTAAGCATAAACAATTATGATTCTGTCCAAACAAAAGCTATGGGAAAATACTGGAATGCAATATTTGCCAAAGGAACAGAGCAGTCTAATATATTATTTCTTGTGTATATTTGGTGGTTTCCTCTTGTTCCAGTGGAATGTTCTGTAGTAACTGAATATTGCATTACTGTCTGCCCCAGCCCAAAGGCAGGCACAATTTTGCTTAACATCTGGATGAATTAGACTGAAAACAGGCATCCTCTGGAAAGGAATAGTTTCTGTCTCCTGTATCAAAATAAGAAATTAAATATAAACATGAATTATATAAATTAATTTATATGGCCTCATAATCCTTTATTTATATGCAAGAAAATGGAAGTGCTAATATTGTTTGCCAATTATATTTTAGACTGCTGCTATGAAAGACTGGAAAAGTTACATGATTTACTGAGAGTAGTAAAGTATTAAAAAATTGTAGTTAGGAGGAGTGCTAAGAGGGCAAGAGGCCTGGGTTCTGCTCCTGCTGTGGGACTCAAATGATTTCATGGTAAGGCAGAGTCCTACTGGTGTGGCAGTATATAAGTGAAGTTTGTAAGACACATTTTGAGGTACAGGGAGGTTGTTTTGGTAGTTGAAGCTCCATTTCCACATCTGTGCTTGCTTTCTCTCTGTTTCTCTCATGTTTCCAGTCTCCTCCTCACTTGTGTTCAGTGTTGGGAAGTTTTCCAGGTACCACGAGCTGATTCCTGTGCTCTCCTCTCCTCAGGAATATTCTAGGTGATCCAGCTTGACCATGTTACCCTCTGCTCTGGGAAGGTCTGGTAGGATTCTCTAGCCCATATTTTACCTATCAGTTTTCCCTAGATGGAAATAACTTTGGGAATGTAGTGAAGACAGTGTATTTCTATATCTTCTTTAAGTTCATAGCACATAGTCTAAAGCTTGAAAAGTTCAACAGAAAACTTATTAGTACATTTAGGGACCAGAGAATGAATTTTTTGATCCACATGAAGACCATTATAAATTATATAATTTAAATTATATAAGCATACATTTATATACATAAATAATATATATAAAATCCCACTTCATTAAGGTGAACTGGACACTGCTCCTTCCCCAGTCAGTGCCTCTGGATCCATCCTTGCCTGAAATTGGAACAAGCAGGAATGTTTGTCCTCATTGCAGGTTTGTCTGTGGAAACCATAACTACAGCATGTAGAAATTGGAATCTGCAGTGTTGTTCTGGCAAGAACTCTTGGACTGCAATTACAGAGCCATCCATAAGGCTTTGGAGAATAGTTTTATATTAGAATAAAGCATATGTAAGTGCCAGACAACTACAGTTCTTCAAAGATAAGATGACTTTGTGACATTTCCCAGCCAGCCAACCCTCACTGGTAACTTTGAGTGAGCATCAGCTCTCCAAGAGCTCTGATAAAGCTGAAACAGGAAAATTCTGATCCAGGCAGTGCTGGGAATACATTAGGTTTGGGATGTGTGGCATCTGGTGACGCTGCCTGTTAAAAGCACTTGGGTTTTTCTAATTACAGACAATTAATAATGAACATGTTCTTAAAACTGTGCTTGCACAGATTGTTAACCATCTACCAGCTCATAGGATTCTGGATAAAACCATGTCAGCAGAAGGAAATGTTGAACTGGATTATCTCTATATAAAGGCCAGTTTCTTCTCTTGGGAGCTTGACTTTCTGCCTAAGCTGTGGGAAGCTCAGTTCAGCCAGGAGTAGGTCAGGGAGACTATGAGAATTTTATTTTTCACTGATATTTCTTGGACAGCCTGAGAATGCATCAGTGTTGTGCAGGGGCATGGGTTTCCATCCAGGAAAACCTGGATGCAGAACAGGGCACCTGTGCTAGATCACCAGCCAAGGACCTGCTGAAGGTTTCTGGGATGCCAGAAGAATTTCAGCTAATATTTACATCCAGTTTGATAAGGAACAGGTCATCCAGAAATGTGGACATGACATAATATTTAGGTTGGTCAAAGTGTTTGCTTTGTGTTTTGCACACTTGTTCTCCTCTGGAGAACACTTGTGTACTGTAGTTTGATCCAGATTAATAGCTGTGGGTTTCCCCTTTATTTTCATGGAGCCATTTGTATAAAAAGGGCAATTACACAAAAAGAGAGGTTTGAACTCTGCTTGTGTTTATTAAGGAAAATCCTCATTCTTGTTTCTGTGATGGAAAGATTGTGTTGGTCACTTCAAGGGGACTCCACAGGAACATAAATTATTGCAGACTGTTATGTGCCAGGGGCTGTTTTTCCTGGGTTGCTGGGGGTAAATCAGAGACTTGATAGAGAGAATACCTGTGTTTCTGATGGGTGATGATTTGTTTGGGCAAGCATTGTATATAAGTGCAGGTGATTTACAGATCAATTATGGCACCTAGCAAACTCTAAATGAGGTCAAACAAGACCAAGCTGCAATTATAAGAAATCTTGCCTTTATAAGACAGGTGAGTTGTTCACTGACTGTGGTGTGGAGTCACTTGGTTTTCTCTGTACAGAGTTATCTTGCCAGACCATGAGGCTTTGACACACTGAGTTGTTTGCAAAGAATTCAAGGCTGTGCAATGCAAATCACCTTTCCCTACAACAGAACAGGTTGATGTGGATAGAAGTTAAGTTAGCCTCTGTTTTTAACAGTGAAAAACAACAAGCAAACAACTTTGGAACTTAATAGGTTGATAGTGGCTTTGTTTCTTCCTTGGGCATGGAATGAATATAATTCCCTGTATTCCTACACTGTTAATGCAATTCCCTTCATTTTTCAGTGGTTTTAGTTCTGAAATACTTTAATTAAACATTTTTCTTCTTGCTTTCAGTGGTTTACAATGAAAGTATTGCATGCCAGTCTGGAATGGCAGAATTGGCTGGAATTGTCATTCCAGCCTTGCCAGAATGCATCCGAGACCCAGAGACAGCACAGTCCATGAGGGAGCTCTACCTCCTCCCCACTGAGAACAATGATGTCATTGTTCATGTCACTTGAGTTTTAAGGACATTAATGATTTTTGCTTACATGGGAAAGAGAGGGCAGTTTCCACATAGTTCTTTGAACACATAAACAATTCTTCTGTCTGGGTTTAGGAAATATCCTCTTCAAAAGAAGACAAGTTTTCCCAAAGTTGTGTTTCATTATCAGTCAGAAGTTCTTACCTCAGTCTTCTCAGATACTGAAATTTTATTTCCTGTTACTTCTAGTATCATCATAAATACCTGAATCAAAACTTTTTCTCTGTATTGCCAACTTCATTGTAAATCCCAATGAGGAGCTTGAAACAATGGGGGAAAGAGATCTTGGGAATGACTGGTATAGGAAACCAGGAGAGTACTTCCATTGATAGACATGAACTAAATCACAACAGTTATTTGGATTCTGCACATTACTGTGAAAAGTTAGAGCCAAATTCTCATTGTAAATCAGGGTAGTTCCATTAACTTCCATGGAAATGTGAGAGCATATCCCAGACGAAGCCTTGGCTCAGTCTTTTTACAGCACCATCAGTAAGAGCTGCTTGGAGAGATTCCACTGGGAGAAAAATTTAATTAAAACAAGGGAGCTAAGAATGACAGAGCAATCTGTCTTCTGGATCTCTTGTGGAATGTGGCTCCTGTGGGGTTTGTTCCTGTGCTCCCACAGCACCTCCAGGTACCAGGGACACCCAGAGGTCCCCACTGCCATGGACCAGGCTTGCAGGGCACTGCTTGCCTAGGAAATGTAACTGCAGTGTAATACACAAATACACAGTGATACCCTCCCAGTCTGCAGTTAGTGTCATTGCAACCATTCAACTGCTTTTTCACCTCAGTGGTTTCAGAAAATCCAAGGTTTTCCTTTCACCAAGTATCTAAGGTTTTTATTTCTTTAAATACTTCAAGGCCATGATGAAAAAGATGGGGAATGGCATCACCAGCCACTGATTCCTATTTCCTTTGTGATCCTGTTATTCACAGATAGACAATTAAATTTCTCAGCTGTGTTTTAAATCATCTGTAAAGAGGGAGAGAACTCCAGAAATCCTTGAGCTGGTTTCTTACTGAAATGTTAAAAAAACAAACACACAAAAAAAGCCTGAAAAAACATCAGGCAAATTACCACTTTGTGGTGTTAGGCTGTTTTCATTTCCCAGAAAGTAGTTAAATTATTTTGTGTGTCCCACCAAGCTTTATTTATAGATTAATTTGTGTATTTTGGTTCCTATCCATTTCTTCCTTTGGCTCAAAATGAATGATACCAGGATTGTCTTTGAAACAAGGCAATTGTTATATATTAAAGAGAAACATCACCCTGAAACCTCTCTTTCTGACAGTTTTTTGAGGTCCCACCACAGAAATATGATATTGGGAATGGCAGGTTAGTGTCTGGTGGGTTCAACCTGTTTGAATAAATCAGACATGTAATATTGTGGAGAGATCTGGACACAGTTTGTCTGCTCAGAAAGCCTTTTACTAGAGCAGCATGCTGATGAAGCTTTTCAAGATTATTTGTTTGCTTTCTTTTAATAACTTATCAGTTTCTAGAGCTGGTTTAAATGAGAATTACTAAACAGGGTTGCTGGTTAGCACTGCTCTGCTGCCAGGTTCAGTCTTTTATTTGAGGCTATTATGCCTAGGAGCACGTCAGGGGGTTTGAAGCTGGTAGAGGTGGCTGAGAGGGTGATGCTGTTGCTGTGAGAATCTCCTGCTTGTCTTTTCTTGGCCCATTGGGTTGTTGCTTGTGGAGATACATTTATTAAACTAAAACTATGGGCATCATGCACAGCAATCAGAGAGGAACTGTCAAGTGCTGCTGATAAACACAATCTGTTTTCCAGTCTCTCCAAAAACTGTATATTTGTTGTACATGAACTCTGTGCTGGTGCTTTTTCCTAGTCCATTTGAGGGTTTGCAGGAGAGTTTTGACCTGAAGCCATAAATATTTGGCCATCTTTTAAAATCTATGACTTGGTACTGACAGCAGAATGTCTCATCAAGATGCTTTGTCAGTCTCAAGCCTCTTTTTATAGTACTCTGGGAAAGATTTTTCCAAGATGTGGCATGAGAATCCTCCTACTGAGTCCTTTTTACACATTTCTTTTTCTTTTTAGGATCCTCTAGTTATTATTGGAATGTAACTGTAGAGAAAAATGTTCATTTCTAGCAACTCAGTTCTGGACTTTTAATCAAACTTGGATTTCTGGAAATACTACATGACTTCAGCTGGGAATGAGATAGAAAGACGGACTCACAGGCAAGGTGGCAGAACTGGGAAGCTGGTAGAGCCTGTGACCTCTTCTGAAAATGATCCTCTTTTGTCAGGCAAGTCAATCAGCAGCATGGACCATCTCTTGCCCCTCCCTGGAAGGGCAGACTCTGCTTACAGCTCTTTCTCAGGAGGATCAAATGTTCCAGAGTACCCCACACCATCGTGCTATGGTGAATATTTCTGTGTGCCTCCAGAGCAGGTCCCATACATGGACACAGAATACATAACAGGAATTTATAATGTCAGAGCTGCACACTCTGACCTCAGATCCACCCAGCCATGCAAGGCACCAGACCTGGGTACCCACAACAGCTCTCATAGCACCGGTCTCACAGATCACTGTGGAATTACTCTTACCCAGAGGACTTCAAATCAGGCAACTCCATCCCTGGCAGCACCTCCACTGTCCCCTCCCAGGCAACTCAACAGCTATAACAGCACTGATAGACACCTGGAAAAGTCAAGAGAGAGAAGAGGCTCTGAAGGGCACGCTGAGTGTAGTGTGCAGCCAGCTCCCAGTGTGCAGGACAGCCAGCCAGCAGAGAGGGACGTACCATGGAGCCAACATTGGGATGCAGGTACAGAGCAAGATGTAGAGCTGGATAGGGAAAAGACTCTGGAAAACAAGGGCCTTTCTTCTGATTTTACAAATGAGGTATCAAAAGTTCAGGCACTAAAGAGAGAGGAAAATGGAGAGTGGAGCCCATCACAGCAACCTACAAAGAGAAGCAATCCACACATTTTCAGCAGACCTTCTTCATTCATTTTTCAAGAATATTTAAAGACAGATTCTGTGGTGAACGTCTCCAAAATACTTTCTGCTTATAATTCAGGTCATGCTAATAAAATTCCCAAAGAGCTGAACTCCAAATCCTATCAGCAAACACATTCCAACCCCAATGCTGTTAATGATACACAAGAAATCAAACAGTGTCCCAGGGCTGTGCGTAAGCCAAGTGCCAGAGAAGCAGCACTGCCAAGCACTGTGCCAGGGCCCAGACAGAGGAAAAAGTCTTTTCCCTGTGCTCAGGGCCCACTCCATGCTGAGTGGCATTCAGACATGGATCAGGATGTGTTTGAGGACAGTTCAGAATTAAAATATATGGAGAATGCTCTTCTAAATAAAAATGCTCCTAGGAAGCCAAACAGTTATGCAGACAAAAGTCAGTGCTATGATTCTGAAGGAAAAATTATGAGCAATATTATCCCAAACCAGCAAAACAAAGTGCAGAGATCACCACTGTCCTGCAGCTGCAATGTTATGGAAGTGGAGCAGCCTCAGTGTGAGGAGTTGGATCAGGGAAGGAAACAGTGTTGTGATGGCACAAGACAAATGGCTTTTTCCAGACCAAAGGAAAATTCCTCATCTCAGTCATTACGTGAAGTCCAGAAAGAAAACCAGGGTAAGAACAGCAGTCCTGACCTCAGCACATGTCTGGGACAAGAGGAACCTCCTGTTCAGAAACACCAGCCTGTATTTCAAACACAGCTCTCAAGACAGCTTCAGGAGGACCATGCTCATGAACAAATAACCAGGCAGGCAACTCCCATGCTTTACTATCTTTCTGCAGGAAAAAGCACCCATGTCCTGCACTCCAACAAGGCCTCAAGGAGCTCACCAAAGGAAATTCCATCAAGCAGCTGTGCTGCCTCAGCACAGTGTCTGGAGATACAAAGTGAAGGCCATCAGCTTCAAAGGAGCAGCCACCACCATCAGTGCAGTGCTTATGATCTCCTGCTCCAGGACAAAGATCTCATTTTTAGGAGTCCTGCCTCATTCACAGAAGAGAATTTCCAGAATGACTATATAGAGAGACTTAAACTAGCTCAGAAAAAGGTTCTCAAAGAAACCTCCTTTAAAAGAAAAGACTTACAGATGAGTTTGCCTGTCAGACTGAGACAGAAATCCTCTAAAAGGCCATCAGTTGAACACCTTCGGTCTTTCTCATTATCTAGTGCAAGTGAGGATGCCAAACCTGTTCCTTGCTCCCCTTCACATCTAGAATCCTTGGAAAGTTTCAACAGAAACAAAGAAATAAGGAGACCACAAAAAGGTCAAGCAGGGGGAAGGAAAAGGGTAACCCAAGAGCAAAAGAAGCTGTGCTACTCTGAGCCTGAGAAACTCAATCATCTAATGGATAAGGAAGTATCATGGAGTCGAGTTAGGGATGAAATCACTGCACAAGATGCAGTGGCATCCAGGAGAAGGGATCTGGAGAACAGAGGAAGGGCATTTTCCAGTTCAAGTGTCTCCAGGACAGAGCTGAAACAAATACAGAACAGTGCACTAATCAAATACATGGAACAAAAGCTCAGTCAAAGACCAGGTGGTTCACAACACCTCCCACTGCATCAGCCACCTCTTCAGAAGAGGCTGCCAAATCCTAAAGGGCCTCCTGGCCAGATTTCCAACCTAAATGGAAGCAGGAAAATGCAAAATGATGAGGTTTTCTGCCAACTTGTCTCTGAACAAAAATCACCAGATGTTTTTCCTCCTTTTCCTTTTGCTCCCCCACCCAACATGACCAGCAGGTGCAATCCCAACAAAGGGGATGGGAGCTGCACCAGCAAGTGTCCATCAGCTGAAAGTCTCCAACAGGCAGGTGGTTCTGCACCTGGGAGAGCTCCTGAGAGACCAAAATGCACTCCTTCTTCCACACAGGTAAGAAACCAGTACCTAAAGAGGGCATAAAGAAAGTCAAGAGTGACTCAGACACTGGGAAGATGCATTTGCAGAGACAACATGCTGTATGCAGGATGAGGCTGTTTGTGTTCCAGCAGTCATTATTGTTAATGACAGCAACTTCATTAGAGCCCTATGCCAAAAAAGGTCGTTACAGGTCATTATAAATGACCAGTGTTTTTTGGCTTCTGAATTTGAAAGACAGTAGCTGTCAATATTGTTGAGGAGAATAAAGAAGATGAAGGGCCAAAAAATAAATAATTTAGCATACCATCTACTGAAGAGACTGACAAACTTCCACCAATGCTGAATTTCTGAATTGTTATGAGAGTAGAGATATCTTCTGTTGACAGGTGTTCTTTTGGTTTTCTAGGGTTAAAAAAAAAAAAAAAGGATGCTACCTAGGAAGAGTGTAATATCAATTTAATTAATAAAAAAGAGGTAAAAAAAAACCCCAAAGATTAAAAACAAAACAAAACAAAAACCTTTCCACCCAGAAAAAACAACAAGAACAACCAAACAAAAAACCACCCGACAAAACAAACCACAAACAAAAAAGCACAAATATCGGTGAACCTACTTGGAGATCTACCATAAGCTTCCCTTGCTGGGGATAAGAAAAATGGGAGTAAAACTAAGCAGCTGCTTTGCCTGAAATGCTGGTTGCCCCAGTGTGCTGTTTTCCCTTCCAGGACACGAGCAGATGCTCCAGAGGTGCAGCAGCCCCGTTCCAGCGCTGTGGGAGCTGCCCCGGCACCTCCAGGTGAGGCTGTGGGGGCTGTGCCCGGGTATGGATGGACATCCTCCTTTGTCCATACGGGAATATTCACCCGCTTCTGGCTGGGTCAGTCTTTAAACTCGTTTGCAGCTCCTGAAGTGCCAGGAGCCCCTGAGCGGCTGTGCCTGCCCTGCAGAGCTCTGTCAGATCTCTGGAGCACAGCTCCCTCATCCGAGCTTTGGAGAAAACAGCATCTCCAGCAGCTCGGATATGCCCAGTCCTGGAGAATATGTGTGATCAGGACCGGTGCAATAGGGGATTTTGATGTGGTTTTTTTAAAGGAAAAAAAAAAAAAAAATGCTATTTACACATCACTAGGAAGTTTGTGTTTTAACTCTCCATATTTGCTTTGCTAGTTTGAGTAGCATCAAGGGAGATAAACATCTGAACTCTGTCTCAGCAAGGCAGTGGTGCTGACTCTTTGGTAGTGAAAGAATTTCCACTCATTCAAAAATATCCCAGTGGTTTCTGGAGACTTCAGTGGCTTATGGGAAAAAAATATTTCTTTTTCTTAAATTTCCTAGTTTTGCAGGTTAGCACAAAAGTAACTGAAAATTCCAGACAGAACCAGAACATCAGAAACTTTCAATCATAGCTCTTAAACAGTCTGCAAAAATATCTATTATATAGAGACTGTCTCAAATAAAAGAACTGTCTTCTTCCTTACAGTTTCTGTGATCCTGAGAAGGATGGACCCAAGAATCATGAGCACAGTGGCATAACTGTGTGTGTGCATGGTCAGGATAAAAAGGAGCAGACTCCTGAAACCTCTGTTCCTGACCCAAGAAGTGGAAGCAAGGAGAGCACTGGAGAGGAGGAGGAATGCAGAACCCATTCTCTGAATGCTGCACTCGAGCTCCCAGAGCAGCAGCAGCCTGCAGCTTCTCCAGAACAGGGAATGATGCATCTCCACACAGCATCGGCTCAGCCTCACCAAGGAGACAAAAATCCAGGTTTCCTTGCCCAGGAAACAATCATGCACAGCAACCACGATGATGTTCCCCTGGAGAGAGGGACACACCTGCCCAAAAGGAGGCTGCAGTCTTCTCAGGACCAGCGATACCAAGAGCTTGCTTTGGAGATCATTGCCAAAGACAGTTCTCTGGTGAACATTCTCATACCTCATCCTCTTAGAAAAACTGGTTTGGACCTGATGGAGGGTTTATTTCCTGTTAACATTTCCATGCTGGATAAATCACATAGGAAAAAGGGAAAAGTACAGCATGTGCAGAACAATGAGTAAGTAGACAAAACCAATTATCTAGCACTTTGGTCTATTTTAATGTAAAGATACTATATATACTAGTAGTAAGATGAACTTGAGCACATTGTTTTGTTTTTGTTTTGTTAGAAAAACATATAGCTTTCTGATTTACCTACCAAGAAATGACTGAGGCTAAGGGTATATTATGGAAGAAAAGTGGTTGAGTGGTTCTTTATTAAAGGGACTGTGACAGACCTAGGCTGTATATCTTTTGCTATAGAGCTATAGATCTCCTGTGGTGAGAAGAGAGTGATGCTGAAGTCAAGATCAAGATAAAACCATGAATTCAGTGTTTGTGAAGAAAACTGTGTATTTGTTTTCTGTTCCCATACCAGGAAAAGCCATGGAGATGTACCAGAAGAATGTCCAAAATCTGAACATGAAACCAAGAAAAGGAACAAAGATCCTGCCTCTATGGGAAACCAAGTCCTGAAGAGCAATAGAGACAGCACAAACGAGCTAGATGACATCACATCTAAGAAAGTATGTAGATGACTATCACAGGAACCACTGTTTCTCCATCATGACAAAGAAATTCTTATTAATGTCATTATTACTATGAATATTTTTATCCCAATAACATTTCACAGGTAACTTTGAATCAATTTTTGCCAGTAGGTGAAGTCCTGGCAAATTGGCATATTGATCATAAATGGTAGTATTTAAATCCAACCTGATTTGACTCAGATCTATCATCATTAAAGGTTTCCTTGCACAGCCAGCTTCTGTGCAGCAGCAGCAGCAAACTCCCAATTTAACACTCAAATCTAATCTCAAAATCTGTAAAATAAATTAGAACTGGCAGCCTAAATAAGAAATATTCTTTACTCTGAGAACTGTAAGCAGCTTCTGCACATTCCAGTGTCCAATTAATTCCATACATGCAGAGAATGGGGGATATAGCTGGACAGTGATAGAAATACAGAGTTTGGAAGGGGGATTGGTGATTATGTAACTTTGTAGAGTTAGGTGGGTTTTTTCCCCAGCCATGCTCCATCTCAGGTAATGACAATCTGCCTTCCTGAAGCTCCTCCTGCTGTGCACATTACCTGCTGTCTCACTGCTGCTCCTGATTATGGTGGCATTGTCCAGCTTCCAAAGAAGCTTACAGTGTGCTCCCACTCAAGTCTTGAGGCCTTTTTCCATATAATTTCCCTATGAAACAGCCTCCTCTGATTACTCCTCTACCCAGAAACCATGGCCTGCTTGATTTGCCCATGGAATTGACTTTTTCTGTCCATATGATAAATGAAATTCCAACCAGTTCTTCCAAAGCTTGGTACAGAGCTGGGACTTCATGCTCATGTCTTAGAACAACAACTGTGTAATCATGTTGTAATCTTTATTGCAGTTCCCTTCTGACTGATTGAAAGGTTTCTGAGACAGAGAATAAATCACCAGCTAAAGTGAATACCAGAATTTTGCTTTTCAGAGTTTGAGAATTAAGTACAGCTTAGAAAATATTGCTGCTTTTTCCCCCCTTTTCTCTTTCCTGTAGCTTAAAATTATTTTTGAAGTCAAAAATTTGGCAAGACAATGTGAAGAAAATCCATTCTCTAGAACTGATATGGATTCTCTTTGGCAATAATGGTTTCTCTGATTTTTATTTTTTTTTTATTATTATTTTTGCAGCTGGAACTCATGGCCACTCTCCAATCCAGGCTGCAGGCACTGTGGGAGGAACAGGAGCTGGTTCTCTTGGAAGTCAGGGAATGTGCCAAGTGGGGTGAGAAGCTGGAGGTCATGGTACGGGACCTCTGCAAGCCAAATGAATTTGGCCGCTACATGATGTTCATTGGGGACCTGGAGAAGGTGGTGAGCCTCTTGCTGTGCTTGTCCAGCCGCCTCACCCGAGTCCAGGATGCCATGAGCAGGATGGATGGCAACACAGAGGCTGAGGAGAAGGTGAGTGACAGCAAAGGTGTTGAATTTGTTTGGTTCACTTCTTTCCAGGTGCTCACTTGTCTGACAGCTTGTTTAGCTTGTTAGATGTAAAATATCCCAACCAGCCATTGCTCAGGCAGTGTTTATGTCCCAGGATGGGCTGTGTCCCCATGGCTGAAGGGGAGCAGAGAGAGGGGCTGAAGCAGAGCAGGTTTCTGCTGAGAGTCAGGGTACAGTGCTGGAGCACAGGAGTCAGAGTGAGCCTGCAGCTGGGTGCTGGGGGGCCAACAGCAAAACCTTGAGAGGCTCCAAGGCAGAGAGCCTTTGGGCTGCTCCCTGGGGAGTAGCTCCAAACCTGTTCTTCACAGGACTTTTTGTGGGTTTATTTCTCCACTGGTAATTTCATTGCATTAATTACTGCCTTTGAAATTGTATTTCACTAAATGGGTTTGTCCTAGCAAGCAGGAAGGCGTGGTCATAACTTGAGGTAAAACTCACTGTGGTTTAACTCAACTAGCCAGCTTTGATGGAAAATGAGGAATTGTCTCATGTCACCAGGAAATAATTTCAATTCTTGGAAAGTCTCCTTTTTGCTGACGAAGAAAAGCCAAATTTATCCCAGGAATTATGCTTCCCTGCTGTTCTTATTGTTCTTAGACATGTTTTTATCAACAAAATACCTGGTGCTATCTCTCTTTTGGAAACAGAAAAATCATAGATTTAGAATAACTGGGATTTTCTGGAGCTGTGTTGCTGCTGACCTGTATCTCTGGAGGTTCATCATAGTTCACACCCAGAACAGCACTAAAAACATCCTTCCCTGCAGTGTGATTACCAGTAATTTTTTGCTGGTTTGCAAATGGAGAGCCAGGATTCACCTCTTCCAAAATGTCAGTTGTGTTAACCTGAATAATTTTAAACAGTATTTCATACTTACTTTCACTTCATGGTAGGCAGGGAGGGTGTTGTTTCTCTAGTATTACATTTATACTCTTCATAGGAAACACATGTAAATAATTTATTCAAATATTTGAATAAAATCCCTAATAAAGGCTTGGTTAATTGCCGACATTTTTAACAACCAGCTCCCACTAACTGCATTTGCCCTCGTGACAGCAAAACCAGCAGTTTCAATCTTTGACTCCATTTTTAGGGTGTCAGCAGTGACCACTGCTCTGTGCTGTATTTATGGACACTGTTCTGAAACAGAACATTTTCCAGCAGTGTAATCCCTATGAAAATTATTACAGCTGAATGACAATAAGCTAAAGATATAAAAATCCTGTAGAACAAGCAAGTCCCAACTCTTTAAAAGAAGCCTTTGATGAGCAGTTACTGTCTACATCACAGTTATTTTATCACACTGATGCCTTTTCGTGGTCTTAAAAAATTGAGAGCCTGACACAGTTAAGGGATGAAGGGTTTTTACCTTGGTGTTTAATAAGGCTCTTTATGGTGCACCACTTCACTAAGGTGGAATGCGCCAAAATACACACGTGATAGATCGTGTACACAATTTATAGACCTTACAAATTAGCCTATCTAGCAAAGATGCCCCAATGAGAGGCTTGGATAAATAGTGTGATGTCCCCCCATCCTGAAGGAATTTCCCCTTGGATGGGCTAAATCTTAGTTTACAGGATATGTTCTTGGTTTCTTAAGAAAGCACAGGGTTTTCCAGCCTGCAAATGCGAGATCTCTAGGATGTCTGGTCTCTTGGCTTAGCAGAATACTAGGACTATGCTGAGTTATCAGACTTAAGGAATTACAAGTATGCATGCTAAAAGTACTGAGGGTATATAAAAGAAAAGGAAAAAAAACATCTTGGCATCAACACAGACCTTTTAATAGAAGCCATTCTATCTTTTTAATATGTTAGTAACACTCTGGCCACATACAAGACACGAAATACAAAGATACATGCCCTAAAGAGCTTCTAATTGAATGAAGATTGTTACAGCATATTTTAAAATAACCAGAATGTTAAGTATATTGATTCTCTTCATGAGGGCAGCACAGGAGAAGTGAGCCTTCATGGCATTTACTGTGTCTTTACCTTTCAAGCCACAAGAATGAGTTATTCAATTGAAAAAAGCCTCGGGTGGAACACAAAGCCCACAAGAGGAAATAATTAAATTAAATCAACTATGGCTTCCAAATGAAGAAATAGAGTCTGCCAGGAATGATGGGTTCTCATGGTGTGCTGCTTTGTTTTTTATTCCATTAGCAATCGCTGATTGAACGGCACAAGCTCTTGTCTCAACAGTGGGAAGATGCAAAGGACCTGAAGGAGAATCTGGATCGGAGAGAACATGTGGTCTCTGGAATCCTTGCCAAATACCTAACAGAGCAGCAGCTCCAGGACTATCAACACTTTGTTCAAGTCAAGACCTCCTTGCTGATTGAACAGAAGGACCTCGAAGAGCAGATTAAATTTTTCCAAGAACAATTAGAAAATCTGGAGCAAAGCATCCCCATCTAACACCCAACACCAGGCCAGACATTTTTATATGTTATATGTGATGTTTCCCTGGAAATCCACAGGTCCTCTCATCACAGGGCTCATTTTGGTGGATTCTTCTAATCCTGTTTGTGCCACAGCACTGGCAAGTGTTTAGATGCTCTGGGATGCTCTAGGCACACTCTAGACATGACCTCCACTTGGACAAGCCATATGACAGCATCTCACAGTGTGCAGCAAACTGCCTTGTGGACATGACTGATAGGATTCATTGCTCCTATTAACTGAATGTGCACTTCCCCTTCTTGTCTGTCCATCTGTTTCCAAATAGACATCATCTCAATAAAAGAACCACAAAAATATTTAACTCTTGTGGGTGGGTTGAGTGTTTGAAACGAAAAATTTTGTGGGTGTTCAGATGTGAACTGGTGATTGCACAAAGCCATAGGAAATGTTATGAACCATTTCAGTGAAACTCCTGCACTTGTTTCTTTCTGTTTATATGTGTGACACAGTAAAAATACACTGTAATGAAAGAAAATAATTACTTCCTTTCTTTTCTTCCTTTCTTACCCTTTCATGGTCACCACTCATGAGTCTTTCCTGGCCTCTGAAAGTACAAACTGAAGCCAAGAAATTGTTTAAGCACATGCTTTTGAATCCTATTGCCTTTTGCTGAAAGTTTGGTATTTAGAGCACTACTTACATCTCCATACCAACATGTAGCAGCTTCTTCCCAACTTCAGCTCATGCAGCGTAGAAGGCAAGATGGCCAGAAATGCAGAGCATCCTCATTTTACAGCACTGTGATCCCACACTGCTCCACACAATTTTTTTTGACCCTTTACCATCAGAAGACAGATTTAAGGTTTGAACTCTCAATAGCAGCAACTGGTGGTCTTCTTGGGGGAGCAGATCCACGGGGATTATGGAAATAAAATCCTGTGCAGTGCTTGTATATAATTACTGCTCATACCATTACTTCCAGCCTTCCATTTGTGACTTTGGCAGCAATGGCACTGAGTTACCTCTGACCAGAGCCCTGGGAAAGTATCAGCTTCCAGAGACTTCTGCACCGTGGCAACGCCCCCATGCTGAACACTTCTTGTGTAAACAGAGTCAGGTTGTGTGAGTTGGAAAAATGCAAGGAATGAAGAAAGTGCCTGGTACCTGACCCTCTGGGAGAGCAGGCAGGAAATCCCCCCTACCACCCAGCCTTGGGAGTCTCCTATTGCTGCCTTTCCAGTCTGATTCTTCCACAGGTAAAACATAGTGTGAGCCCAGCTCCATAGAGAATTGTAATTGGAGCCTTGTGGGGAGCTGTCTCTATGAATTAATGACAGCTGCATCCGGGAGAGTGCAGAACAGCAGTGCTGAGAAGGAAGAGGTGAAAGAAGCAAAAGTCAAGCACCCAGATCTCCCTGTGGGTGCCGGAGGGGGGAAGCTGGTGGCATTCCAGGAACGATCTCTGCATCTCACTTGGCCACCCACACACAAGTGGCGTGGGGGGAGACTCTGCAATAGCTTCTGTTGTGTTAGGCAGAAGCAGGGGCGCCTGATTTTTGGATAAAAAGATGGCTTGTATTGCCGGAGGCAGAGCATGAGCCTGTGGTGCAGGTGCGGGAGCAGTCAGCAGCACATCCTGCCCATCTGACAGAGGTGTCCTGGCAGCAACTGAGAGATTTTTGACACAGTAGCTCCTTTAGAATCTCATTTAACATCCACTGAAATGTGTGGGAGTCACTGCTGGACCAGGAGCTGCTGTTTCAGCCTTTTAGGGACTAAACTGAAGGATTTAAGTTATTTTGTTTTAAACACCAGCCTCATTTTCTTCACTGGGGTGTTACGCCATGTGGAATTAATTAAGGAACGGAGACGCAGTTAATGCAAATGTACTCTGAAAAAAGATATTATTTGGTGCCTGTGAGAACTGTATTTAATAAATAGGATGTTCTCTCTGCTTTGAGAATTCATGGCAACTATCTGAATATTTTTTTTAAAATAAACTCAGAGCAGCATTGCAAAACTAATCTTCTGTGCCTGGAGGGAGCCCCCATAGACATTAAAGAATAATCAGCCTGTAGGAATCATGCAACTCTGGGGTTCACAAAAGACTCTCAAGAAGCAGCATTTGAATTTCACTGCTAAATGAAGAGAGGCATTAAAGGTTATCAGAGACTCTAAAATACCACATAAGCCTTGAAGCTGAGTCATCTCATAGATAAACCCACAGAGAGAGAATATGGGCAGCACTGATAGTCTTGATTTAGAGAATAAGAGACATTTCTAAAAATATGAATAAAGACCCAGAAGTCTTTCTAATGGGCTCAGCCCATGGTGGAAAAGCAAGAACATCCCAAACTACCTCAAAAGGGAACCACTTGTGAAACAATCCCTCCAGAGAGCCCTGCTCTGTGACAGCTCCTGATGGAATGGCTGGTGCCTCCACGGCCCCTTTCTGGGTTTCAGCTGTTCCCTGCTCAGCGCAGGGTCAGTGTCACCTGATGTCACAGTGGCTGCTTGGAGAGGGCTGGTCCAGAGCTGATCCCAGCCTAGAGCAAAACTGTAGTTCCTTTTTGCAAAGGGGAAAACTACTGTGGGAGAGTGGTGGAAGAAAATACAGCACAAAAGTCATGGTAAGAAACTCTGTCTGTACCACTGCAGTTTGTTATTGTGACCATATTGGTGAATCTTATCGGTATGACCATCTGCCTCATGCAGGAGCCTGTGGGTGAGGACACCAGAGAAGACCTGGCCCCTCAATACCATGACCTCACATCAAGGGCTTATGCATTTGGGTATCGGGGTCTATTCAGTGGAAATGAACATTATTTGGTTTGTGCCAGGTGTGACTGGTGCTTGCTGTGCTTCTCTGCTGGTGTCTCTAAGCTTGTCTGGAGGGTCTCAAGGTGATGGGGATGATTTTCCTCTTGGGAAATGTTTTGGGTTTGGCTAAGAACTCATGCTTTCAGGTGAAGGAAAGGAGTAATGCTCTTCCTGGGACAAGAGCAGAAGTTCTATTGAAAAAGGGAAAGCTGAACACTGCCAGCATAATTTTTATTGTGCACATCTCTTTTTCTTCACAGAAAGGGAAGATGCACTAAAGCTGTGCTAATATTAACAGTATACATCTGTTTTGCTTGCTTCTGGGTTACACAGTATAATGGCTCGATGTGCTTAATGACTTATAAATTACTGAAATAAACCTTGAAACTGGAATAGAAATATTCTTCATTAGGATGCAGAGATCTGTGTTGTCCTGCTCTGACCCTGCTCTTCCCCTGCAGCAAACAAACACCACGCTGTGTGCCCATGCTACGTCCCGGCCAAGTCCCTGTTAACAGCCTCTTAATTTGGGGAGTCCCACAATAGTACAAACAAGTAGAAAAGGCAAAAACTGCCATGTTGCCATTTTATTCAGATTAATATGCAAATCAGGAGGCAAATACATGCAAGGAATGTAGGTCATGGTGGAAACATGAAGAGAGGGAGCAATGGGGAATTAGAGGACTGCCTAGAAATGCTTCCTCTACCTCCAGCTGGTGGCTGCAGCTCCCACTGGTCTTTTGGAGTTACTTTGACTCTTCCACTGGATCATGGGTTTGTGATGAAGCTGAAATCTCATTAAGACTCTTCTGCAGTGCAGGAACGGCATTTCCTGGGTTTTCATAGTGCACGTTTCTGTGCAGCACTCACAAAGGAATGGACAACCAATTATCTCTGTGAGTCTGACCACAACCACGCTGCCTCACACTGCTCAAACAGCCACATCCGGGAGGACAAAGTCTATCCCTCTGTGCAGAATCGTGGTTTAAGGTTTGTTTGCAGAGCTCTTCAAAGCAGATTTTTGAGCTGATACTCCTCAGGAACAAAATGTGCCAAGGAACAGACAAACTAAGTTATCCTTAGCAGGCAGACTTAGCCAGGGTCAGGCAAACAGTAGCTTTCCTGATCCCTAGTGCTGCTGAACTAAAATCTGAGCTAGTTTTATTTGTGTAGGTGCTCCACTGAATGCACATTCACAGAGAGGGGGAATGACACTGCTCATGCTGCCTATGGGCCTGAAAACATTATCTTGATTTCAATTTGCATATCAGTACTGACTGTGTGCTTTAAAGAAGTGACCAAGGTGATTATCTACATTTTATAGCAGGAAAACTGAGACATGCTGAGAGGGCAGGCTAGTAACCAAGGCGAAATACCACCAAGCTGCTGAGTCCTGCTCCTGTGCCTCATCTGTGCCTTCCATCTCCTTCCCCACCACCAAGCCCTCTCCAGGGGACAGGAGCAGAGCCTGGGAGGGGGGCACAGGGAAGGGTTTTGTTTGTTTGTTTGTTGGGTTTTTGTTGTTGTTGCTGTTTGTTTGTTTACCTTTACTGCTATTATCTTTGATGGTGCCTTGGGCAATTCCCAGCTCTGGGCTGGGCCAAGGATTCAAATGCTGCATGGCCAGCCCATGGCACAGCCCCTGCTCCAGACCAGTGTGCAGAGGTAACCCAGTCCTACTCTCAGCTGTTCCTGTGAAAACATCCTGGCTAAACTTCACATTTGTCATTTGTTCAGGTAAAAATCCTACTGCATTCAGCCAGATTTGGACTTGAAAATGAGCATTACGGAGAACCAGTCAAGCCAAGGGACTCATAAAACAGTCCTGCTTCAGCCTTTTGCAGGAAAACACTCTCATGATCACTCATCACCCTACAATGCCACTTCTTACAGTTTAAAGGGTTACATTGGAGTCCAAAACCCAGCCAGGCTGATGGACTGGTTTTACTTCAAACTAAAGGCACTACATACACCTGTATGATTACAGCAGTGCCTTCTCAATACCTCTCACTATTGGTCTGCACCTGAAGTTGTACCACACTCCGTGTACTCATTCCAGCCTACCTAAATACTATCTTTTCCTTCGGTGGCTCAACAAGGAGGAATGAGCTGAGTCACTGCACAAACTCGTTGGCAGAGCCTGGCCCTGCCTACCCCACCCACACCCAGCTTTTCGAACTCCCCACCTTTGTGACACCACCCTCCTGCCCAGCCTCCAGCACTCCCTGGGGAATGCTAGAAGAGGGCTCTTGCTGCTGGGCATTTTTCTATCACACCAGCTAATCACTTCAATGCCTTTGAGGAAGGAGTAGTGCACAATTTTCTTGATGATACATGTTGCAATTAAGTCTTATCTCAGCTGTGACTTCTTTGACAGAGTAATAGAGAGGCAATGAAACCTTCTCCCTGCTTTCTGAGGGGTGAAATCACAACCATGCTCTCCAGATTAGTCAGGTGGGGTTTTTAAATGCAAAACGCTCCATCCTTGAACCCTGCCTCTGGCTCATGTAGGCTTGACTCTGAATGAGCACTTAAGTTCAGCAATGTTGTTTGAACAAATATCAAGCCTATACCTATAATTATTGAACAAACTTCTCAATAAGGCCAAGCAATTTGCAAGAGTGTTTGCAATGCCCACAGAAAGAGAACACTTTCACCAAGCAGTGTTAGTGCCTCAGAGGTAACATGAATGCACACACATACTTCTGTGGTTTCAGTGAAAAAAATAATTAAAAATAAATAATTAAAAAAATTCTATGTCTGCACACTTGGAAAGACACTTTAATACAGAGCTCTGTTTTTCCCAGAACTCTGCAAGCTGACAGAGTGAAGCACAAATCAAGGTTTCAAAGGACCACGCTGGTCAATGGTCACACCAACAGCTAGAGAGCAAATTGGATTTTATTTTTTTTAAACACTACTCCAGATATAGAAGTCATGAGATGCTTGATCATTAACCTGTGCTTAACAACTTAATTAGTTCAATCCAGAAGCAGACCGGTGCAGAATAATCCAGTCTCTACTTAGAACAGGTGCATCAGACCTAGCTTCAACCTCTAATCACATTCCCAACAAATGTCACCAATGCCAGGAACTTCAGGGAACATGTTCTGTAGTAAAGAGGGCAGTGCCTCCATCTTCAGTCCTACAGCATTCCTTGTGAGTGTTTGGGACAAGCCAATTAGAACCAATTACAAGTCCTAGGTTTAATGCAAGACAGAAAAAAAAACCAAAACATTCCTGAAGTCACTGAGTTGGAAGGAAAGGCCAAGCATGCAAACTAGTGTTTCAGTGGAGAAACCCAAACAGAGCCAGTGCAGCATTGTGCTCACCTTCAGCACCTCTCAATGACACAGGTTTCTAATCACAGTTTTAAAGAAAACGTGCTGGCTTAGCAGACTTGCCCCCAAAGTCAGACAGTTTCTGTTCAAAGCTCTGCTTCTTTGCATTAGCTTTTAACCATGCAGTAATTAAAAAAATAATAATCTTACTGCAAACCTAACACACAGTTAGCATGCTTTCTGAGCTATGTGTACTTCTATATATAAAACAATTTTGTTTATCATATAAAAGAAGAAGAATTCAATTTAGGTCAATGATTCATGCTGCTGAGATAAACACTGCTTCAACAGGTCATGCAGAGGTTCTATCATGAAGCACCTAACATTACATAGAGCCCAATGTTTATAAATATTTATTGTAAATAGGTCAAAATGGGCCAAGTTTTAAACAAAAAGAATCAGACATACAAACCTAACTTTGTTTCCAGGTGGCTACTCAGAAACTCTGACAGATCCAATTCCCAGTTTTGCAGTTCAGTTTTTCACCATCAACAAGGTTTTTTGTTCAGATTAAGTTGATTGAACTACAGTCAAGTTTAAATGTTCACAGTATCATCAAGACATGGTAGGTACCACCTGGTTAAAAAGTCTTTCAGCAAGAGAGAAAAACACTAGCCTAGCTTTCAAACTGAGGTAGACAAGTCATAGTGACGTGAGTGCTGAAGGTCAGGGTCTGTCTTTTTAAGTAATTCATCTAATAAAATGTATCAGGCAACAACTGAGATTGTTAAGCGAGTATTTCTGATGTGAAATACTGAGTGACAAACTGTCAAAGTGAGAAACTTTGTTTTGAAAAAGTATACTATTTTTATAAATAAAAATATCCTTCTTCTGCTACCAAAATAATCAGAAACATCATAGAAAATTATGCATCTTTCCTCTGATAATTTAATTCTGTTAGATAACAAGCCTTGCTAAAGTAGCCAGCTACCACCTTGCTGTTCACAGTGTAAAATATGCAATCCTTCACCTTGCTTCTGCTCTCCAGCTGAAGGACACAGATCAAGAAGACTGTACCTCAGGCACTTTGACCTGTCCATACACACATAAACTGTTTCAGTTTTTCACTCATTAAGTATAAAGTTTGTGGTCTTCACCAATCATCAGCACAATGGTACATACAGCATGGATAGCATTCCCTGGCAGCTCCCTTTCCATAGGCACCTGGGGCTGGGTTTCATGCTGTGGACTTTGGATGTAGACCCTATCACTGATTCAGTTAAACATCCAAAAAGACAGACACGGAGCGAAGAAATCCAAATTGCTTCTGCAAGAGAAAGCTGAGACACCAGCCATGCTATTAAACCACTTTGATCACAGTAAGGCAGAGGCTAGTGGCTAAAGAACAGCTCAGAAACGGGTCTGCGTTTCACGATAATCTCTTCCTCCTCCTCCACTGCTTCAGTGAGTGAGGAATATGAAGGGAAACCCCCTCTGGTCTTTGGCTTCCTCCTCGGGCCCGTAGTGGCAGTCAGAAGCTTGTTTAAGGTTGAGGGCTTCCTTAAACCTTTAGTGAGATCGTAGAAAGCCATGTCATCGGATATGACTCCCAGGAAAGTGCTAGTGGAGCTCAAGATTGAAGCCGCAAGCTTTGTGGACTTCTTGATGGGCATGGAGTGCTCTGTGTTTTGGGAAAGGCTGGGGTCCCCCAGCAAGCGCCTGATTGTAAGGGACGTCCCTTCCTTTAAGTACTGGTGCGGCTTCTTCCCACTGTAGTCCCTCAGGTCAATCTTGGCATGGTAGCTATAGACGAGCATAGTGATTATCTTCTCCTGGCCGTGTATAGCAGCCAGGTGCAGCGCCGTGTAGCCACCATGCGACCTGGCATCCACATTGACACGGGACCCGCCCTTCTCGGCCGCTCGGATGATGTTGGTCACCATGTCGCAGTTGCCGCTCTTGGCGGCCCAGTGCAGGGCGGTGAAGCCGGAGATGAAGTCCCTGCGAGCCGCCAGGCTGGAGTCGCCCAGGAGGAGCCCGTGGAGCTGCTGTGTCCACTGCCCGTCGGCCGCCAGCACCAGCCACTGGTGCTCCGCCTGCTCCAGGGGCACCACCGTCTCCTCGCTGGCCCGGTGGTTCTTGGGCCCCCTCCGCACGCCAGGCGAATGGGACCCGGCCTCTTCGTCCAGCGGCGGGGGGGACAGCGGGCTGGGCGCCTCCTCGGGCGGTCCCGGGGCGGCGCGGGGCAGCGCGTAGCGCAAGGGCAGCATGCAGGGCTTGGACGGCGGCTC